TAATTGATACTCATTCGACCTCTCATAGGTTTGAAGAACGCCCTTGTCTTTCCATAGTTCTTCTGTATGTTCATAAAATTCAGGAGGATAATTAAAGTCCGGACCTGTAAAGAGAAAACAACGTTAGTGCTAAAGATCTTGCATTAACCAGATCAATTGACTTACTAGATGCATAATCCTGAATGTATTCCACTCTGGGTTCATTTTCTTTCTTTTCTAAAGCTACAGGTGGATTAAGTGTGCTCATGGCTCCTGTAATAGTCTGCAAGAAATATTTAGTTACAATGAGGTATTCCAGTGGGAATTTATTCAGAGTGGGCAAAAGTAGGACTCACCAAGATAGCGTCTCGAATATTCTTTTTAATATCATCAATTTTCTGTTTCTTCTCCGAGTCAGAAAATCCGTCGACATGCAATATTCGCATTTGCTTGACTATAGTTGATTTGCCGGACTCGCCCGCCCCCAGGAGGAGCAGCCTGTGTGTGGCCCTGTAGAGCTGTTTGTCCTTCTGCAACTGTCTAGATATTGCATCGCTCCGGCGCTTCTGGCTTTTCGAGTCCTCCGAGTTAACATCCGACTGCTTGGAGGTGGGTGACCCAAAGCAACCCATCGCAGCCCACGGGGTCCACCAACACGTCGCTCGGTTTTCCTGGTTCGCGTCGGGTGACTCGGCACCCCTTGTGCTTTCTCCGTTCTGCTCCAGTATAGCTGAGTTCCTCGGATCAATACACAATGTCCTTATGTGCACTTCGGGTCGCCGATCTCAGTGACACCACCGTTGGCTCAGCGCTTCAGCAGATCTCTGTAGCAGGCTAGAATGGCAATGGAAGAATATTATACTTTAATTAATACATATAATAAAACTCGAGTTATGGCGATTTTGAGTCATAGAATACATTTACCATTTAACATTATTTTAACTGATAGAGGCCACCAAAACAAATTACGATTTTAAAAAACACTCTATAGAGTACAGTGTTTTGATGTAGAATATCTCTTATATGGAACAATAAACTATTCAGGAATTAAATTAGACAGCAATTCAAATAAATCAACACTTCTTGTTTACATAAAATCGTAAATATCATCTGCAGGTGGCAGGTGTGTATTCGTGCTCCAAGGGATTTGTGAACCTACATCAGTACCCCTATATCATGTATGTCGCCCATAATAGGCGTCTAAGCCAAGGCGACATTTGTGACATTGCCGCCCACGAAAGTCCCGTGAGTCACTAATATTTCGAGTCCGAAAACAACGCTGGCTCTATTATCGAAAACCGAAATCAAAATAAAAATCAAAAATTACTCCACGCAAAACGCCCGTACATTCGACATTCTCGTCGGGCGATTGGAATTCATCACATTCATATTCACATCCACATCCACATCTATATCGGCGTAGTGTAACAGGTGAAGAAGAGGGCGGGTGGAATTTTCGCGCATACTGAGGTGCAGGTACGCATGTATATAGAGATACCAACATAATTCTATCTGCAGTTAAAACTCGGATGGGAGAAAATTACATATATTCAGTGGCGAAAATTTGATTAACTTTTGCTCGAATATGAATTATATGCACAAAAATGTATAGGCACGCGTAAAAGTATTTAATCTATTAATTATTGCCGACCGACGAGAGGCGAAGGAAGATACATACTATATGGCCAGGGCAAAACCTAACGGACATATAGCCGTAGATAGGAGATATGCAGATTTTAATGTAAATATATGTACATAAATTCATCGGAATCGGGATCTAAGCGGGCACGGGCACATATATATCTCACAGATATGAGTACACACCGTTGTGTATCTACTCGTATATACGTGCGTATGTATTTAGATATATACACAAGTTCTCGGTTCGCATGTGTGAATGGATGTACATAAATAAATGTATGTACATATATCAATACGTATGTGCTCCGTGCCTCCGAATCCGAATATTTGCCATTTCTTTGACACTTTGGGTTAGGAAACTATATTATACTTATACCATCGCGAATCGAATCCGATGGGATAGTATTTTGAATATTCATGCGCGAACGATTTTTCACTGATTTCAGGTTTAAGGACGTAGGACGCAGGACGCAGGACGTAGGACGTCAGGAAGTCGGACTCGAATCGAATGGATAATGGACATGGAATCCCCGAACCAAATCACATCTTTGCGCGATTCCAATTACGTATATGAACGCGACTTATTCCCTATGTTTGACAATGGTTATTGTTTACCGTGAAATTACCGAACATTTTTATTCATGGGAGCAACTTCTAAAACTATAGGTGCACGATTCTGTTGGGGAGCGACTTTCGGGTGCTGAAAAACGGCTATTTCTATCGCACTCGACGCGCCAGCCACTGTTTTCTAGTTTCCCAAAATTCTTTATCTTTGCGTGGTTGCAATTCATCAATTTGTTACTTAAAAATTACTTTTAATACCAGTACTAACTCACTTTTTATATATTTTTTATTTTATGTATCAACCTAGGGATGCAACAAAGTAGATACTTTTATCGATACTTTTTCCTGACTATCGGATAGTGAGGGCGCAAGTGTAGATAGATATACTACTTACTAGGGGAAAAACGTTAGTTTATAATAATGATATACTTGCTCTCAATTTTATAAAAGCTATGATAATACTTGTAATCAATTAGTCTTATTACATAGATAATTATATGACTTAAAAAATACAACCGATACTTTACATGAACAGACCTTTTCTACAGGTTCTTTTATAGATTTTTACATGGGCGTGTAACAAACCTTTTAGAAGTTGCTCTGATAAAAGCTAATATATCTTTATTTATTCAAAAATTTATTTGCATTGCACTTGAATTATTTATTCCCAAGAAATGTTAATTTTTTTTAAGTTTAGTTTTTATTAAAGTATAAAATCATTTGTTTTTTAAACAATTCTTGTATTCATCCTCCACCTGCGAGCGGAACCCGAGGAGCGTCTACTTAAGATAGGTCTTAATCAAATTCTCCAGCTTAACAGTATCCACGGCAAACTTCCTGATTCCCTCGGAAAGCTTGTCAGTGGCCATGGCATCCTCGTTTAACAGCCAACGGAACTTGCTCTCGTCCACGGTGATCTTCTCGATGTCCTGCAGCTTGGCATTTCTCTCGGACAAGTAGGTGACCACCGACTCGGTCTCGTTCTCCAGCTCCTTCAGCAGAGAAGGACTAATGGTGAGCAAATCGCAGCCAGCCAGGGCCTTGATTTCGCCCACATTACGGAACGAAGCACCCATAACCAGGGTCTTATAGCCGAACTTCTTGTAGTAGTTGTAGATGTTGGTCACAGAGATCACACCCGGGTCCTTGAGGGCCTCGAACTTCTTGGTCTCCGTGTTGGCCACATACCAGTCCAGGATCCTGCCCACGAACGGCGAGATCAGGGTCACGCCGGCCTCGGCGCAGGCCACTGCCTGGGCGAACGAGAAGAGAAGCGTCAGGTTGCAGTGCACACCGTGCTCGTTCTCCAGGATCTCGGCTGCCTTGATGCCCTCCCAGGTGGAAGCCAGCTTGATCAGGATTCGCTCCTTTCCAATGCCCAGGGATTTGTACAGGTCGATCAGCTTCAGGGCCTTCTCCACGCTCTTCTTGGTGTCGAAGGAGAGGCGGGCGTCGATTTCGGTGGAAACACGGCCGGGGACAACCTTCAGGATTTCCGTTCCGAACAGCACGCACAGGTAGTCCATGGCCTCGGCCACTTGCTCACTCACGGAGCTGGAAATGTGTATATTAAAGCTTTGGTTTGTGGAATACCTATATAGGACCTTACCCCTTCTTGCCCTTCGCGTAGGCCACAGCCTTCTGTACCAGCGGCTGGTACCGCTCCATGGTGGAAGCGGACAAAATGAGAGAAGGATTGGTGGTGGCATCTGTGGGCTTGTAGATGTTGATGGCTGCAAGTAAAAAACAAAGTATTTGCATAAATACAGGGACTAACACCCAAGTTACATTGCGAATTCTAGAAAGAGCGAAAAACCTGTTGAACGACTTTCATTTTTCAATCGCCTGACCGAAAATATCTTTGAACTTTTTCGATGCCTGAGCAGGTTTGGCACTCTATTCCGAAACCTTATCACTGACACACTATAGCGGTCACATTTCTAACACACGTAAGCACCTAAGGTCAAACTAAAGTCAGCTTGGTTTTACTTTTCACTTTTATTTGATCTTCACTGCAGCAGATAAGACAAACTGCTATCGAGATGGCTCCAATGGCCCATCGTTTATGTTTATCTTCCGACTCCAATATATGTATCCAAGCGATTTGAGTCTTTGGACTCGGACTGTATATAGTAAAAATGAATGTTCCTGAGCTCAGATCCGCAAAAATACCAACATCATACGTAGATATTTCCAGACTCAGGACTCCCAGATTGGGAAAGCTTTAGTTCACTTTGAAACCGGGCACTGCGCGCGATGATTGCTGTCTTTATAAGGTTTCCATATTTACCTTCAAAGTCGCCGGTGTCAGCCACAATGGTGGTGATTTTCTTAAGTTCCTGTAAGACCGACATTTTCTGCTTTTTCAACGTGCGATCACTTCCCATGTCCCAACTTCAATGCAATAAGACCGCTATTGGAGCGGCAATTTATACCGTTCGGCTCAGAAAATATACTAACACCTAACTTCGGTTTAAAAATGGGCATTAGGGGGACTCTTTATACTTAAGAACTATTAATACATTTGAGGAAATTAAGTCCCACAGGTCAACTGGCAGCTTAAAAAATTAAATATTAATGTTTTTTAAATTATAAATATTTCTACGTCTCAGAAAACATAATACGCCTAACCTTGCCTTAACAATTATTTTACGGGGGATAAAAATGAGTAAGGTTAAAAAAAGACGGCCTAGTTGTCTTATAAGATTGTATCTTATGTTTATAGATTTGTATCTCATTTATATTACCACTGTAGTTGCTGCTACTTCACCACATGCCATCTTTAAGAACTATCGATATTTTTGATCGGATTCCTCAATCAAAACATATGTTTGTTCGCACACACGTGTGTTTAAAAGATACTCGGGACGGGACCAAACAATACAATTCAAGATGAAGCAAAAACACTCAAAAAACAGGGGAAAGCCCTACAAGAAACCTGCTCCCGCCCGCCGAAATGAGAGGTTCTCGAAAAACTATAGTTTCATTCAGAGGAGCAAGCAAATGGAGGAGTCGCATCGCAGGGAAAGGATTCCGACAGCCCCTAAACAAGAATACGAGCCCGTGGCGGAACTCCTGCCAGAGATTCAGGACGACGTGGATGAGGCTGGGTTCTACGAACAGCTTGTGACTGGTTTTAATCACATACCCGCAAGTACTTTCCCTAGCAAATGGATAAAGGTTATTGTGTGTATTAACAACAAATTATCCTTTCAGGTCAGATTCTTAGCTCAACTGCGGATGACGAAGACCCAATTGTTCCTGTACCCAAAAAGATTAAACCCAAAAAGAAAATGCATGCTGAAAATGTAGCTGCCGACTTGGAAACACACAATTCCTTTTCAAAACGTTTTGATTTTGAGCTATCCACAGACAATATCAACGATTTAATTGCGAAAAAAGATGTGAGAACCATAAAGAGCAATTGGTCAGCGTTGGGAAATGTACGATTTGAGATTCCACGAGTGTCTGACTTTTTCAAGGAGGCCGATTGCAGTGAACCCAAGGATATTGTTAGTTCCGAGGAACTCCAAAAATTGGAGGTTAAACAGTCCATTTGTGGAAACGTCAAGCTTCCACTCAACGCCCTCCAGTCTCAACTGTTCTACATTGCCAATAATTATCAGGATCTTTACTATCCCCACCGTACACACAGTAATGCTGAGGACATCCGATATGTATATTGTCTGCACGCCCTGAACCACATGCTCAAAGTCAGATCCCTGATTTTGCGAAACAACGAAAAGGTTTCGGCTCTGGCCAAGTCCCAAAAAATGTCGCCCAACGAAATCTCCATACCAGAGAGTTTTAGAGACCAGGGCTTGAAGCGGATGAAGGTGGTTTTCATAGTGCCCTTCAGGGAATCGGCACTTAAGATTGTAAATATAATCGGAGATCTGCTCTTCGGCAGTCAAGATGGTAAGTTAGTCCTAGACAGCAATTGAACCATGTTACAAGGTTTTGCTCTTTACAGAACAAGCCAGGAAAACTTCAATTGCAAACTACGAACGCTTTCTGGGAGATTACTCTGGAAACACGATATATTTCCCCAAAACCAATCCCAAGCCGGTGGACTATGAGCAGACATTCAGTGGCAACACAGATGACAATTTCAAGCTGGGTATTCGTTTCACCAAGAAAACCATGTCGCTTTTCTCCGATATGAACTCATCAGACATATTGATTGCCTCTCCCTTGGGACTAAGAATGTTGGTTACTGACAAGGATAATGATTTTGACTTTTTAAACTCGATTGAACTGCTTATAATTGACCAAGCCGAGCTGTTCCTGGCGCAGAATTGGGAGAACCTTCTGCACTCTCTGGACCACCTCCATTTGCAGCCGCAGAATCTGCCCGATACGAATTGCCAGAGGGTTCGAACTTGGTGCCTGAGTGGGGCGACAAGTTTCTACCGCCAAACCCTGTTGTTCTCATCCCACGAGCTCCCCGAATTCCGGGCAGTGCTCAACAGTAAGTGCAGCAATTACCAGGGAAAGGTACGAGTCGCCAATCTGGTCGAGCATGGAGACATCCGCCATGTACTGACACCCATCGAGCAAGTTTTCCGTCGAATCAGTTGCTCCAATGTGGAGTCAACCTTCGACGATCGATTTCAGTACTTCGTCAAACATATTATGCCTCAGTTCAGTAAGCCCGGGTTCTCGCATTGCATGCTCTACGTGCCCAGCTACTTTGACTACGTACGGATACGAAATCATTTCAAAACCGAAATGGTCAGTTTTGTGCAGATAAATGAGTATACAAAGAAAGAAAAAATTTCCCGGGCGAGAGATATATTCTTCCACAGCGGAGCATCTGTTCTACTGTACTCGGAAAGAGCACACTTCTTCCGGCGCACCCGAATTAAGGGCATCCGGAATTTGATTATGTACCAGCCACCAAACTTTCCACACTTCTATTCCGAAATGATCAATTTGATGCTTGAGTCCAATCAAAATCCGCGGGATGGATTCGGAGAGGCAATGTCCGTCAATATCCTGTACACAAAATACGATCTGCTAAGTTTAAGTAACATTGTGGGAAGCGAAAACGCCGTAAAATTGACATCGGGGAAAAAAGATTCATACCTTTTTTCTACCAAAACATAAATGCTTTCAAGAGCAAACTAAGAAAAATGTAAATATATCATTTTGAATTAAAATATACCATTATTTTAAACAAAGTAAAAAGTAATATATGTGATAATTTTTTAGTTCTTGGTCTATTTTTGTGCTAAAAGGCTTTTGTGACGTAAAGATTTCAAGAGGAACTGGTAGGTGATTGATCTGATGTTAAGGGTAGCAAGCTGCTTATATCTAGAATATCTCTTCTCTTTGTCATTACGCAATGCTGAATATGAAAAAATGAGTAATTAGCAAATAGTTGTGTAATAAAAGGCGGCAATTACAGGTGAATTCTGTTTTTTAAATTAAATGAACTTTATTTCAGGTAAATTCTGCTTTATAAAATAAGTTTAATTTAAGGAACTTTATTCAATGAAATTTAAATGTGATCTTAATGAGCCGGTTTTTGTTTTTAAATGATAAACTCTTTTGATAAAGAAAGACAGGATATATAAAATATTTGTTATTGTACAATTCCATTCATTTAGTTCAGATTCCCAATATTATCACCCAAATCCGAGATACTGGACAGAGGTCTACCGATTTCATAAATATAGGTTGACAAAACAATTAAACCCAGATTTGCTATTCTTAAAATAAAGCAAAATTCTTGGCTGCATTGTCATTTATCAATATTTTTAAACATATAGGTAGCTTATAAAAGTTCTGGCCTAGACATATAGAGGTAAAATAGTAGCCAAATGCATATTTATGGGTCTCTATGAAAAGTCGTAATAGTTTGCTGCACAAGGCGGATATCATACGGCAAAAACGTGTGCGGCGAGCGCTCTTGCCAACTTGTGAGAGACCGCAGAGGCATTACAAGACGACTATTTTTATGCGGCTAAACGACGGCCGCCAGTCTCTGCTGAAATTGGGGAAAAAGCAGAAAAGCCAAAGAAAGAATTTTTGGACTAGAGGCCGACAGGTGCATGCCCTCTCCACTGGGAGAATCTTTTTAAAATAAATACATAGCCGAGTAGCATATAACACCATTTAAAGGGAACGTGATTTGTTTAAGGAAACATAAAATATTCAATATGTTTTTTTCATTATGAGTTGTTTTCATTTAATAAATTTGAAAAATATATCTAAATTTCTGTAACCGGTTTTTAAACAACCGAAGTTTTGACCCTTATAAAATAATTAAAACAAAAGCTAGAAACACCTTCAAGTGACAAACCCTTCTAGCTTATCTACCATAATTTCCCCAGATTGGTTTAAAAATAAAATTTCTAAATATTAGACAAACACACGTGCATTTTTCGAAATAAGTCTACAGTCCACACTCACAGGCACACCAGTGATCTCCCACATTGCTCTAGGCTTTTTCGTATCTGTGCGCTCCCGCCGATCCGAGATCGAGATATATATATATTGGTGTGCTTGTGGTATCCCCACCTAGGTGAATATATATCTCTGAGGCTGCTGGGACCGCAGTATATTTTGCTTCGGCGAGATACGAAACGAAAAACACGAGCAGAACAATTTGAATCGCGTAGGATCGTGGATAGGATAGGTGGTAAGTGCTCAAAAGTTTGTGCGTGCTAAAAGTATTTTCCCGGGCCAAAATAGAGAGTGTATGTAGTTTTGGGAATTTTGCCAAAATATATGAATTTTGTAATTCAAATAGACACTCTCATCGGGCAGCGTTCTCCTTGCGTTCAGTTGCCGTTGATCGTTATAATAGCGCGATCTTTGTGTTAGCTCTTGGTCTTCCGATTTAAATAAATTTATTATATAATAACGGAATTTTTACTAGGAATAATAATTGTAAGTTTTGTTGATTTTTTGCAACAATTCCAATGCAAATACGCCAGTGATTTACTCCAAATTCCATTGAGTACAAGAAATATATCCCAAGAAATATCGAAATATTCAACCGCGCGCCTAAAAAGAAAACCTGGAAAATTGAAAAGTTATTCGAAATGCCTACATATATACATACGAACATGCTTACACTCGAAAAACCGTGTTCCAAAGTGTTCCTTCTCAGTTTAGTTACTACCCACCCAGAGTCCAAGCTCGTTCAGTTCGATATATCTGAAATATTCGTAAGGGGGACAAAACAGTGAGCGACCTCGACCTCCGGAGTCGATTTGAAAATTTTGAATGTCACCAATACGAGGGCACACCACGAATAGATCCGATCCGACACAGATGTAAAGTTTTTCTCTAAGTGCTATGTATTTGTGATTGAAAATCTGGTTATGCAACCACTGGGAAATATCCGTGTCCGAATCCGAAAGATGCATGCCCTGTATTGTACCCAAATGTAATCACCCACAATCACACACGATCATTAGAGATCCTCAAAACCTACCCGCATACTTTATTTGGTGGTTATGTCAGTAAGTGATTGTAACTGGCTTCCCCATCCCGCAAAATATGTGGAGCAGTGAAAAAAGTATAAATACATCTATCCCAGGACCTGTCCTAGAAACCTCTTTTTTTTTAACCACGCTTCCCTCCACTCAATAATTATTATACAATTCAATAGCGAACATGTCAATCGGAATTAACAATTCAGGGCATGGGAAACGTCTCGCACATTTGTCGACATCCATTAGAATACAGATATCTCTGCTCGAAATATCATAAGCCGTTAAATCATACATATAACCGAACAGAATATTTCTCCCTACGATCGTCTCTCTGTATATGTACTCACACTTATTTATGTGTTCCCAGTACATATCTTTATATCTACGAATGTTCAAAATTGAGCTAGTATTTTTTTGGGTGCTAGGACTCTATTTATAGACCATCTCGGACAGAGGCGATTTTTTTGCTCCATAATGCACACATACAAGCATGTGTCATGTGTATAGTAGAGGTATATAGCCTATATAGCGTATAGATGTTTTCAGAAAACCTCTATGTGTGTGCTCAAAATATAGGTAGTTCTTGACCACATTGCTTGACAATCTTTCGAAAAATAACGTTTTTTGAAGGCGGGAAAGTCGTGAAATCTCGTTATCAGAAGTTACGTATGAAATTGCGCTCCCCAAACGTAATATTCAAGTATTATGCGAGTTGGCTGCCGTTCAAATTCCCCGTATGGCCTGATTCTAGTGTCTGGTCGCGAAAAAGATTAAAATTAAAATTTAAAAATGTCGCTGCTGGCCGAATACCTGGCACCCAGATCTATTTTTTGCGGGCTCTTGATCTCGATCTCATTAATTTGTGCACAAAATGCGCGAAAGCGAATAGTGTTGGCTATTATGTGGCTGTCTCTTGCTCGCTGATTGGAAATATGAAAGTGTATTAATACGTTTTTACAATCGTGATAAGAACTTGCGTTCTTTGGGTGCACAGTTTATAGGTATTTTTGAGTTATTCTTCAGTTAGTTATGACAGCTTTCTTTATTTGTATAGTATGCTATGCATCATAACTGCTACAGTTTGAATTCATTTTTCACCTCAGCTATCGGACTTTTTGAAACCGGTAGTTCACCAGCTATCTATCGCCGAGCTATCGATAACGCCGGCAAACGCAGTTGAGTGGCACAAATTGAAGGCTTCAGTCAAGGTTAAATTGAAGAGGTGCAACAAATTTGGTGTTCAAACTTAGGAATTACAAAACGAGGCAGCAGGTAGGATCCGAACCCCTCGATTAACGTAACCACAGCGATATACGTTTTCAGTCAGCCCTGAGGCGAATAATGTCGTGTCATAGTGAGGTAGAAACGCCGATAGGCAGTAATGCGCGGCTCGGGACTTAGTGCAATAGTTATCAGCACACATATTCAGAAAAAAGCGCCATGGGTTATAATATATAGAGAATCAGTGGAAAAAAGTACTTAACACACGCAGTGCGTCGTTCAGCGAGGTTAACAGAGGATTGAGCACACGGATTAGGATCGAGATCCCCCCAATCGAATTGACAGCCCGCAGGAACTCAGAGCAGAAACTGCGACTGTTTTGCGAAGTGACACGTGTGTGAATCTCATTTGGCCTGGGTAATGCAATTATTCCAGCATATTCTCCGACTCCAGACGATCCGATCCATTGCGATCTCGTCCAAAGTTGGCGCTATAACTGCGAATTGCGCGATTTGTAGTGGCCAGAAGTATCTGAGATCTGAAAATTAGCATGTAGCACCTGTGTATGTGCCCATGTATGTTGGAAAGTGCCCGTGTACCGTGCACATGCACATGTACAAACACTTATTCAGAACCTAATGAGGTAGTTTTAACTGCAAACGGCCCCGTACATACGTATGTACATACACAATTGCTATTCCAGTCAGTAGTCAGTCGTAGAGCCCAGAGAATAGAAAATAACCCGCCCGGAGAACTAAAATGAGTGTCTTGCCTTGTCTCTACTTTCAAATCCCCTCCTGAAAACTGGATGCAGGCTACTGAACGAAGAGGATAACGAATCAAGATGGAAGACGGTCACTCGAAAACCGTCGAACAGTCTCTCAACTTCTTCGGAACGGACGCAGAGCGCGGCTTAACCATCGACCAGATCAAAACGAACCAGAAGAAATATGGACTCAACGGTGAGCATCGTCGTCGTAATCCCCCGCCCTATTAACGAATCGGAATCGACTGACGTGTTTGCTTTCTTATCGTTACAGAGTTGCCGACCGAGGAAGGTGCGAAGTCAACCCCTGCCCCTGCTCCCCCCCACACTATACCCACTATTTACCATAATAACCATTGTATTCCACAGGAAAGAGCATCTGGCAGCTGGTCTTGGAGCAGTTCGACGATCTGCTTGTGAAGATTCTGCTGTTGGCAGCCATCATCTCATTTGTAAGTCCAGTCCCTATTGTCGCTGAGAAACCCACCCCTGAAACGAACTACAATCCCTACTCTTCTCTTCTCAATCTGCAACCCCCAGGTTCTCGCCCTGTTTGAGGAACACGAGGAAACGTTCACTGCATTTGTAGAGCCCCTAGTTATTTTACTTATCCTGATAGCCAACGCCGTGGTGGGAGTATGGCAGGAGCGTAACGCCGAGTCGGCCATCGAGGCCCTCAAGGAGTACGAGCCCGAGATGGGCAAGGTGGTGCGCCAGGACAAGTCCGGCATCCAGAAGGT